AAATTTTGTCAATTAGTTAGTTAAAAAAAAAAATCAATCCCTTTCCAAGTCGATTCTTTATTTTTGATACTTAGTTTGCTTAGGATTTCAAATAAAGGCTCCTCAAAGTGAAACGACCCGAGTTTTGCACTATATTGTATTGTTTGGATTTATTTTTATCGGAAACCCCAAGGCAAACGACAAAGGCTCTCATTAAAAGGTTCCTTCAAAATGATTTTTAACAAGACGAAGTTCACGCGTATTGCTAAGGCACATAGGAAGTTGCCCCTCAAATTCATTGTAGGAAAGATCCAATGCTACAAGATTCTTTAGATAGCAAGAGCCTTCTGCAACACATACCATTTTTATTTATTAAAATTATTTAATCAGTTCATCAATTAACAAATTGATAAAACTTTGAAGTGATCTTAAAGCTTTCAACTTTGAGATTAACTGACATTTTTTAAAACTGGTTTCTATGGGCTAAATTTACCCTTATCTACTTTGATCACATTTAAACTAAGAATTTCATGAAAAAAATATGATTCGTACCTTGTTGTGGCAGTGATCCAGTCAGGTTTTTAAAGCCTATTGACAAGTGGGTGAGGGAACCAAGAGACATAATAGATTGTTCTGGAAGACTACCCTCCAAGTTATCTAAAGCACGCACCAGAGACTTAAATTAAGTGAATGAGAAAGATATGTCAAATGCCAAATGGAAATGTTCATTGAGCAAGTTTCTAACAATATATATAGACACACATCATGGCATGTTGAAGAAGCTATTTGGATGGATCATTTAATCTAAATAAAATGTTTTAATGAATTGTTCTGCTATTTCTTAGTCTTTATACATTGTCAAAATTTATTGGCCATTTATCTCCTTGCATGTTTAGTCATGTGTCCATAAGAAAATCGTCATCTCATTCACCTCTCAATATTCTCAAGAATCTCTAAAGTTTGACTAACCGTTCAATTCTCTAAATAAAGATACGTAAATTCATCCGTTGAGAACTTGAGATGATTATATGACGGCAAATATGTGGATGAGTAAATTAGTAAATATGATATCAATTGACTTCGGAACAAAGCCAAGCAATTAAAAATAGAAACGTTCGTGAATGCACTTGAGAAAAGTTGCCTAAAAGTAGATAAACTTTCTATGCTCGATTCAGCAATTAACATATGACATTTAAAAGAATCTAGAAGATAGAGATTTTGCACCGAATGATGGGACTTTTGTGAGCTTATTATCTTCTAAATCCAAGTCTTCCAAGTTGGCCAGCCTAATATCACCAAACAGCCCTGCTCCACAAACAACACGTGCTCATTTACTATGAACATGTTACTGTGTAAAAAGAATTATAAAAAAAAATCATATGTATAATTAACATCATCAATATTCTCTTCATACGTACACAACTTCATATTTTTATTTGATTTCATCAGACCAATAATTTTTTCTACATTCCGTGAAGAGGTTATCATCCGTGAGTTAATGGTTACATCACAATGATCACATGTGTTTAGGATTATATATCTTGAAATTATAAAGACTAATTACAAAAAGTTATGAAACATTAGGAACTTGAGTAAACTTTAAAGACCAAATCGATAACTGAAACAAACTTGAGAATCAAAATTATCATTATACCAATCAAAAACTATCCACAAGTATTTAGTCAGAATGGTTTTACGTTATAGCAGATAAGAAAGGAATGAAAAAGTACGGTATGCCAAACAATGATACGATCATAATTTTTTGACCTGATTTTTTTATTAATACATGAATTATTGTAACTAATATCGTTAAATTATGTTTTGTGATTAAAATATCTGTTTGAAACGCTGGTAAAAATATTAGTCTTAATTAACAATGCGTGTCTATATAGGATAAAATAGTTAAAAGAAAGAGGGCGACATGACAAGTAATTCCCATCCAAATACAACTGTTCAAGGGGGTGGAAAGGGAGAAAAGAAGAGGCATTGAGTGACCATTTGATTTGTATGCTTCCCTGTTTGCGTATGTCTTCCTTTACGTCCTCTCTATCTATATATATAGCGGCAAGAAGACTCTAGCTGCCCACGGTGTTTCAAAACACAAGTTGACTTGTTTGTGCAGCAGAAATGACTCGGACTGAGAAAAGTGTAACAACTAGGGCAAATTAATAAACACATCACGATTGTCTCAGTAAAGCCAACCAAGACTTGAAAACTGAGTCACAACCAAACAAACAGGGGAGAAATATAGTCAATGGCCGGTGATCCCCAGAAGTCATGTAAGAATAAATTTAATAGGTATTTATGAAATAAATTTCATTAAAAAGTTAAAAATTAAGAACTCAGAGACTTATCTATCCTCTGTTCTGGGTGTGATTAGAATCAATGACACATAAAGATAACTCTGATCTATTATAAATCTGACATCTGATGTATTATTCAAACAAATCTGGGAGAAAGTGCAATTTTACCAGAAAACATTTAACAAAACCATGGTATACAGCACAACCAAATGTAGCTGAAGATCATTAGAACCTAAGCTCTATTGGGTACGCAGTCAATTTCTCAGAAATTGTAGGCATGAGGCATATATAGTTCAAAAATCCGCTTCAATAAGCTAAGTTCAGTTCCTGGCATTGCGTGCACAGAATTTATGTGCCATCCTTTAGTAATTGTCTATTTTGTCAAAGCTTGTGTGTTGAACGAGTCATGATTATAATAAAACATAAATGATAAAGTTGCTGATGATGAGATAAGAGGATGTGAAGTATATATGATATCCCATACATGTCATTTCTTATGTCAAAAAAAAACTTGAGTTTTGTTTTATAAATGAGCTTCAACGTTTTTAGCATGATGTGAAAGGTGAGAAAAAGATGAAGATTCGTTGCCCCATAATACACGATTGGGCTTAAAGTACGTGACCTCTCAATTTGTGATTGATCATGACAGTTGCTAACAATGTTCACCAATCACCACACAGTAAGTTTTATATTCTAATCATAACCATTTAAAGTCAGTGCCTGTGCTTTTGACGTTTCTGCAGAATCAAACAAACTATGCTCCATCATGTAGATTGAGATTGTTGCGCCGCAACTAAAACATGTTGAATGATATAATTCTACAAAAACCAGAAACTTGGTTGAGTTGACTCATAGTATCTGTTGCGGGTTATGCACGAGACTGAGAAAGAAAGAGAAAAGAGAAAGGGGTAATTATATACTACCTTCTGCCTAAATATAAGATCTACTTTATAGTGTAATTATATAGTCTCAACGGAGAGAAAAGAATAAACAAACGATGGCTCCCACAAGGATGAACGAAGAATTTGAGGTTCTAAAGAGAATTTGCAGAAAACCGAGAAAGAATGAAACAACAGAAAAGGATCAGATTTAAGCCTGACATAATAAATCGCGTATGCACTTGTTTAGAAACTATCAGTTTTAGGTGGTGTTTGGCCAAGCAGTGAGATAGTTTCATCATAAAGTTAGAAATATAGCTGTAACATGTATTGATGATGTTATATGGGATTCCTCTGCTCGGGGTAATTGACATATTTATGATCGATTTGTTTAATCAACATTCACAACCTTTTTAGACAAGAACAAGGTATATATGTTAATTGAATTAACCTATACTGAATCCTGATGATTCTGTGGTGGAGCAGGTTGATGTTTTTCATAATTTTAAACTTCAAAAATCCTTTGTTCCCACTAATTAAAAATTTTTAGACAGATAAAACACCTAACTATATACTACCTCCAGTCCTTAATATAAGAGCTAGTTAACTAATTTGAGTAAATTAAGAAAGTTTGTTAAATTAGTTATTTGAAATAAATAGATATCGTCTTCCTTAAAATACTCTTACTAATTATGTGTATTACTAGAACTACCATTTAATAGAATATTTAACATGTGTAACTATTACAAGGATTATTTTGAAAAAAATGAATAAATATAAGAGACAAAATAGATTGTACTCTTATATTGAGAATCAAATTAAAAATTAAACTAGTTCTTATATTGCACACCAGAGGTAGTACAATCAATTGTAGTTAGTTGTGCACAGGCGATAAAACTGACACGTCCTCACTAAATGCACACGCAAAGTACTACTTTCTGTTTTTTTTTTTAACCAAAAATACTGCTCTCTGTTTCAAAAAAAAGAAACTTCTATGAAATTACTTTTACATCCAAGTGTTTCGTTACAAATTCATTTTGTAACCACGGAATTGAGATGAAATAATCCACTCTTCATCAATAAAAGTTCTTGGAATTTGTTTGTATAGTTGGAATGAACCAACATTAGATTTTGAAATATCAGCTAACCAATTGTATCCTATGGCAGTAAACATAATACTTCGCATCGAATTTTTTGTTACTTTTGCATCACTAATTAATATTGTGGGACTCAACATAGCAATAATCCCAAAAAAAAAAAAAAAAAGAGCAGCACAGAGTTGCACAACTGCAATTGAGAAAAGAAGAAAACGAGACAGAACAATGCACGTATTAGGAACTGATCGCAAGAGAAATTAAGAAAGCAATAAGAGTTCATAAAAGCAAGTTAAAAAGAGAGAGATTTTGATGATGACTTGTGATCTCACCGTCCCTCCCAGAAGAAGCATCACTGGAGGGATACCCCATTGGTGGTGAATATGAAACCACCGGTAAGCATAACACCACTGATTAGTATTGTTAATCTCATGCAGCTACAGAGACATATACAATAATAATTATAGTTAATGGTCAGATACAGGGCAAACTGTGAAGAAGCTTGAAGGAATCATCACTTAAACTGCATTTGCCGACACAGTATTTTGATCACAAATCGCCTGTGATATATGTATAACAGTAAAAATAGCAGGAGGTTCTTCTGGATGGTAGCAATTCATGGTTAAAAAATATTGATGAGGTTAGGTTGATCATCTTATGAACAATAGGAACAAAGAGACAGAGACGAAACAGAGATGACAATGAAGGATTTTGAGAAAGAGATTGCTAAGCTGTACACACACATGAGAAGTAATGATTCGAATATTTCAATTAAGTTTCCTTTCTGATCCTGAGAAGACTTGAAACCAGCAATCTTTTGGTTATTGTAATTCTAGAAAAGATCAGCAGGCCATCGATTACATGATCAAAATCTTATGAACTCTAATTGAACTCTAAGTAAAGCCTTTTTCCTTTTTGCCATCACTCATACAAATAACTTGTTATAACTCTCTCTAATACAAGTAGTTTGTAATTGAAAATGTAAGGATTCAAATAAATAACTATAATGACACTTATAAAAAAGACCCCAAATGCTCCAACAAAACTCCATAAGAAAGCATCTCGAAAATCATTTGTATCCAAATGATGAGGTTGCCTGTTTCTCCCTCCTATTGAGCAATTTTGCGGCAAAGGGGGACCGCATAGAAAAAGGTTCCCTTCATAACTGGCTGAGCCAAAAGTTGCAAATTGATTTTTCATATCAGGTGTCATTCCAGATAGATTATTATGAGCAACTGAGAAGAAAGACAAGAAGTACAACTGAGTTAGTTGTGCAGGAATGTGGCTTGTCAATCTGTTGTGTGAAAGATCAAGGCTTTCTATCTGCTTGAGGCTGGAAAACGTTTCTGGAATAGGCCCTTCCAATTGATTGTTTGACAAATTTAATGCATGGACAGTGCTTAAGTATCCAAGGTTTGAAGGAATTTTACCTCTCAATTGATTGCTAGAGAGATCCAACCCAGACATGAAATTTAAAATGCTTCCCTTGTAAGATTCATACCTGCTTTTTGTTGTAAAATCTACTTCTTGCACTTTACACAATGTGACATTTTGTTTTTCTTTTAGTACAAAAACTTTACCGGTAATACTGCAAAACGGTAATTGAGACGATCTTGTAGTCCAGGACACAATAAAACTTCCTATTTCGATTTCACTTGCTGCATCCATGCTTCCAAATCCGATGTTATTCAAGCAATATGGTATGCCTCCAGAAAGCTTATTTTGAGAAAGATCTAACAATCTAATATTCTTGAGCTCACATAAATGTGTCGGAATAGAGCCTTCAAGTTTGTTTTCTTTTAACATGAGGACCCTTAAACTAGAGAATGAGCTAATCCATCTTGGAATTCGACCTGAAAATTTGTTATGCATCAAATCGAAAGTCAACAATGAGGAAGAATTAGCCAAAGTAGAAGGTAGAGATCCCATGAAATGATTGCCCTGCAAATGTAGATACATCAACAATGGCATGTTCAGGCAACTTGGCAAAGAACCACTTAATGTATTGTGAGAAAGGTCTAAATATGAAAGTTTGGTCAAGTTGCAAAAGCTTTCTGGAAGTGAACCTGTTAAAGAATTCTGTGACAAAATGAGGTAACTCAAATCTTGAAATTTTCCAATCCAGCTAGGTATTTCACGAAATAGTTGATTGGCACTTAAATCCAACATTATCAATCCAGTACTGTTCATGAAGCCACCTTGAAATTTTCCTGTGAAGTTATTGTTGTTGAGATCAAGAGACAACAAATGTGTGAAATTTGATCCTATGGGAAGACATGAGCCACTCAGGTTGTTGTTTGACAACTTCAAAAATCTCAATTCATTGTTCCCTTGACCAAATTCTTGAGGCAAAGAGCCAAATAAATTATTATTTGACAAGTCAAGATCATTCAATTGTCTCATTTCACCTATTGAAGCTGGAAAATGACCTCGCAATGAAGTTGATGACATATTAAGAGAAATCAAGTTGGGAAAAATGTATCCAATATGAGATGGCATTTCATCTCTGATGGGGTTAGAGGAAATATCAAAGGACTCCATTTGAAGCAGTTTTGAGGCAGGATTGAGTTTAAAGGGAGTAGTGAACAAGTTGTGCGTCAGATTGAAATAACTTAATCTCGTGTTGTTTGTCAAAAGCCATGACGGGAAGGTCCCAGAAATGTTCAAGTGGCTAAGTTCTAGAGCCAGCAAGTCATATTGATGAAGAAGAAAGGTAGGCATTGTCTTATTGTTCGCTTCATTTAGAGAGCATTTGTGGATTCTAAAAAGCCTCAACTGGAAGGAAGGAATAGATGGGGGATTCTCAGTTTCAAGCTTTAGATGGGCGTTAGAGCAAGAGATGCTAAAGACTTTAAGGTTGGAGTGGTTGGCAAGTGAAGAGAGTGAAAAGGAACCACTAAAATTGTCATCAGAAAGAAAAATTGCTGTTAGGGACCTCAGAGCATGAAAAAGTGAGGAAGGAAATGTTCCTTCAAAACGATTTTTATTAAGATAAAGCGTATGTAGAGACGTCAAATTGCCAAGGCATGCAGGAAGTTGCCCCTCAAATTCATTGACGGCAAGATTCAATAGGGAAAGATTCTTCAATTGCACAAGCCTCCTGCAACATACCATTTTTATTCATTAAAATTATTTAATTAGTCCATTAATTAAAAATTTATACAACTAGAAGTAATAGCTTAACCTCCTACTTAGATTGAGAGAAAATTATGAAGAAGAAAAACTAGAAAGAAAAATGGGAGGAGAAATGAGTTTTGTCCAAGTTGGTAGGAGAGAAAATATGAGAGGAAAAAAAGTGGGGGAAAAAAATGAGGTAAGCCCTACGTCTCATTTTCTCTCCAAATTTTCTCTCCATATCTGGAGAGATTTGGAAGAAAAACAAGATTTACGTGACTACCTTCCCCTTCTTTAGTTCTCCCTCTCTATATTTATTTTCTTTTATTATATTTAAAAAAGGATTCGCTTTTTATTTTGTATCTCAAAATAATATTTTTATTAAATAAGTTGGTTTTAAAATATAATAATTTGAAAATATATAAACCAAATAATTTGATTTTAAATGATTTGATTATGCTAATATTAGTATAATTTTTCTACTGCAATATTTAATTTGGTTCAATTTTAAATATGATATATTTTGATAAGGATATTTTAGTTTTTCTTTCCTCTCTATTTTCTCTCATCTATCCAAGTAAGAGGAATGATAATATTTTCTTCCTAATTTTCTTTCTCTCTATTTTTTCTCCTTTCAACTTTTCTTCTTATCCAAACGGATATGAAATTATACTATATTTTTCCAAAAAGGGTTTACGTGGGCTAAATTAATTTGGGGGTATGTACGAATTAAGAAGTTGGGCCCCAGGAAAAACCTCAATATTGAGCCCAAAAATATAAGTGAAAATAAATGATTAAGCCATTTCCTTTTACTAGTTTTAGCCTGTCCATGTGTGTAAATACAGTTCCATCTTCTTCTTCTTATTATCATTATTACTATTATTATGTCAACTATTATTTGTTTTGACTACATTATTTTAAACTATTGCCGCATGCCAGTTAGGAGATGGATTGGAAATCGATTTCATTGAACAGTCGACTCAATTTGCAGGAACAAGGAAAATTTGACTGTTTAATTAAAATAAAAATTTGTTATCAGCAAATTTGATGTATAAAATATGATGCATACCTTCTTGTGGCAATGATCCAGTCAGGTTGTTATGTCTAATGTCAATGTGGTGAGGGAAGTAAGAGACGTAATAGATTCTGGAATACTGCCCTCCAAGTAATTAGCATCAAGCCACAGCTCCTTCAGATTACGTGAATGAGAAAGGTCTGTCAAATGCCAAATGGACATGTGTGCGTTAAGCCACAACTCCTTCAAATTAATTTGTGTGTTGTGTGTGTGAGTGTTGTTAAAATTTATTGCTAATGAATCTGCTAAGTAAGAAAACGTCATCTTATCTCTTACTTTTGACATTTCATTCAATTCTCTCAATTAAATAAAGGCACATAAATTGTTCAGTTGAGATGATTATGTGGCAAAGGTAAATAATTCGACTTCCCAACAAAATCAAGAAAAAAAAATCGAAACTTTCATATATTTAATGGAGAAAACGTTGTCTATATTTTCCTTTTAGCATTTTTCTTAAAATGATGGCCCGGTAATCTTTTTTCTAAAAATAGATATGCTTTTGATGCACGTTTCAGTAACTACATATGTCCCTCAAAATATACTATAATATAGAATACAAAGATTTAGCACCGAAATATGGGAATTTTCTCAACATATTGAATTGTAAGGTCAACAATTCCAAGTTCACCAGCCTGATATCGCCAAGCAGCCCTGCTCCACAAACAACATGTGATCAGTTACTATGAATGTTAGTGGGTATAAAGAATTATAAAAAATAATTCATATAATTAATATCATCATCCTCTTCATAATTTAACATGAAGTGAAAGTTTGATAATGTAGTTTTTATTAAGCTTGTTTTGGGCCCTCCATATATCCAAGAAAATATCTTGCTTAGTAATTTATTTTTTGAAAAATATTTACAACACGAATCAAAATGTTTAGTATCTCAAACATTTTCTAAAATATCTTACTTGATTATTTTTTAAAAAATGAGTAGTAAAACTTTTGGTACTCAAATTTAATTTGTCTCCGTTATCAATTTGGTCTGTGAAGTTTAATTTTTATCAATCAAGTTTTTAAAGTTTCATACGCAACTTTACTCCTCTGATACTATCTATAAGATATAAATGATTAAATTATGTAGATTATATAGTTTGTTGAAATTGCTTAAAGACAATAAATATGTAAAAATGTATTTTTTTCCCAAAAATAATAAAAATGGCGAATGAGAGAGAAATTGAGTAAGAAAAAGATAAGTATGAGAGAGAATAAATGAAGTGATATAACATATAATTATTGGGAGAAAATATAAAAAATTGGTTCAAATTTCATAAATAAAGCAAAGTGAGGGTTATCATCCTTGAATTAATGGTTAGTGATAGCACATGTGCGTTTAGGATTATATATCTTCAAACCATAATGACTAATTTTGTATGATTACGAAACTTTAGGGACTTGATTTATAACAATTAATTAAATTTCATGGACCAAATCAATAAGTGAAGCAAATTTGAGGGACGAAAAGTTTCATTATTCCAATCAGAATTATCCACAATATTTAGCTAGAACTAGAATGGACTCTATCCCGGCAAATCAGTGGGCTAGAAGAGGAAACCGACAAAAAGGACGAGATAAGAGGCAATGACATTTTTAACTAATTTTTACTGTAACAATGTGCTTTTACATCTTTAAAAATCACAGTTCGAAATGCTTATAAATATGTCGGTCTTAATTAACAATGTATGTCTATGTACTGTGTGTGTGCATAGATATATGTATATATGCATGAATGATAGAATAGTTAAAAGAAAGAGAGTGACCTGACAAGTAATTCCCATCCAAATACAACCTTTGAAGCTGGATGAAGGGGAGAAAAGAAGAAGCATTGAGTGACCAGTTGACGTGTCTCAACTTATAAGGTCTTGTATTGTTCAGATAAAGGCTTATGACTCTGAGTGGAGCTGTCACACTCTACAGCCTCCCAAGTGCAGCAATCAGAGAAGGTTTGGTTATTCCAAGAACGAAGAGAATAGCCATTTGGGTAATTGAAAGCTTCTTTCAATTTCAGAAGAGCTTCCCTCTCTTCTTTCAAGCACCCCTCAGCTTCTCCATTAAACCCTAATAATATGAATATGATTATGGCCATCATCCACCACACCTCTTCTCTCACTGAATACCCCATTTTCCTCAATGCATGTCTTAAACTGCGTCCTGCGTTCATCTATATATAGAGGCCCTTTCTTTGCCTGGACGACTCAAATTGGGCACTGTGTGTTCCAAAAGTAAAATTGTCTTATCTGTGGAAAAATGGAAGACAGGCAAAATAGAAAGCTCCACTTCAGATCTGACATAGACTTGCTCATTTAGTCTGAAAAATTAGAATAAAGGATTAAGATTCCTTCCCCGAACTACACGATTACATTGGACTTGAACTCTCTCAATTCACAATCTTGACAGTTGCTAATGACAATGTGCACCACACAAATTGTTACATTCTTATCTGCGGTGCTCTTTGGCATTTCGATCTGCAACGTATCAAAGGGGATCTTAAGGAGTGCGCATGCCTTGCAATAATTTCAATTGTGAGGATTATTCAAAAATCAGTCTGAATGATCAGTTTTTCCCCCAAACAAAAATCACAATCAAAGTTCCAGAAACTATCAGTGTTAGCTAATTTTATTTTTTTTTAAAGCACCGACATGGACTTAGAATCGTTTAGTCTGAAAAGTCAGGAAGAGGTTAAAACTCCCTCCCCAAAATGCACGGTAGGGCTTAAGCTCTCATTTTCTGATGCTGACAACAAACTTTGTATATTCTTACCATGGCTCATAAAAATCAGTGCATGTGCCTTGACTTTCTGCACAATCTACCAAACAGTGCACATCAAATTGAGGGAAAGTTAGGGCCATGACTGACCAATCTATCCAATATTTCACGTCCTGGATGGCTAAATATCTGTACACATTCACACTAATTACTAACCAGGCCTATCAACACGAATAATACTACCTCCGGTCCTTAATATAAGAATTAGTTGACTAATTTAAGTAGATTAAGAGAATTAGTTAAGTTAATTATTTATAATAAATAGGTATTGTCTTACTGATCAAGTGTATTAGTTAGAACTACTATTATTACAATAACTATCTTAGGAAATAATAAATAAATATGAGATACAAAGTAGATTAGGGGCTATATTTAGGACCAAAATAAAAATCAAACGAGTTTTATATGAAGGACCGGAGGTAGTACTTACCTCAAACAAGTTGTGAGAGGACCTTAACGTAGTTTCCTTGTTGAATGAGTCATATGATTATGACAAACGATGAAGTTGCTGACGAGTAGAGAGGACGTGAATGGCATAAATCTCATTCGTGTCATTTCTTCAATTAAAGAAACTAGAATTTTGTTTCATAAGTGAGCTTGTTCAACGTTGTTAACAACTAATATATATACACACACGCGCCTATATTTTTCGTGCATGCGTGATTCTTTGATGTCTCTGTATAAATTTTGAGATATATCTTCACACAAAGTATAATATGCAGTTTCATTTGCAGTTAAGTATTGTTTTGGATTTGATTGTTGTAAGCTTTTGTCTCAAGTTTCAATGGATCAACCCATACAAGAAGTATTCTCTCAAGTGCTCCCCT